ATATGTAGCTTTTGAGACAACTTTTAGGGTGTCAATATACAAGTATTTACAGACTAACAGCTGAGTATCTCGAATTCCGAGATTCTTACCTAATTTAAGCTTAAATGACTGGATTAAAAATTGAATTTTCAATAAAAACAATACTCACATCAACATCAGTTATCATTTCTTTAGTAGAAACGGTTGTGTCAATCCTTCTGATGGATCCTTCGTGTATGTTGACATCCAGTTTGAGGATCTGGTATCTCCTCAGCAGGAAAACTATCGGTATAGGGAGAATCCCTGCCAGAATCATAGCGATTGCAATTCCCATAACCCAACTTGGGTAGGGAGTTGCCACAACATCTCCCTGGAAAATTATTGTAGCCAATCAAATTCAGCACATAGAAAGAGAATACGTCTCTAAGCCATGAAACTCAGGTCAAAATGGTCCCATTTCGCAGAATTGGTGTCAATATTAAAGGAATAAGTTTTGCGAAAAAAAATGTTTCAGTTTTCCAATTCTCCACCTTTATACAAAAAAATGTGTAAATCTTGAGACAGAGGAAGAAAGAAGGAGTAAACTCTTCACAAAGATTTGTAGATCGTGCATAGAAGTAAAGTATGATATATAGTGCATCTCTTTTATTATTTTTTCCTTTTATTTTTTGAAAGGGTCAATTAAAAGATTTGAAATTGGGGATAATGAAATTAATGCATGAATACTTCATTTTGAAATGAAATAGACAGATGCAACTATCGAGATGGCGACTGGGCGCTATCTGGGAAAAAAATTGAATAGAAAGGGGGGTCTTGTGAGACATCCTTTTGAAGCTCCTGGGTCTAGGCTTTGAAGTTTTATGGCTCAGAGATGTATTTCCGCTGATAGTAAAAACACTTCTGGGTGAATGCCAAACAAACCTGTTCCTTATTCCAAGCCTGGTACTTGGGATGGTCGATCACCATGGAGACAATTGAAGAAAGCAGAATCAAGACCATGATGACTGGGGCTAAGAACCGCCAAGTGATCTGCCAGTAGAGGCCTGGCTTCACTCCGGTCATCTCGTAGATGTCCTTGGTGAACTTCTCGTGACCGTAGACGTAGATAACGGCAATCATCTCCAAGAAAGCGACAACCACCAAGCCGATAGTTCCAGCGAAGGAGTCGAACATGCTGAGCCAGTATTCGCCAGCGCCAGTGGTGAAGATGAGGCCCATCGAGAAGCAGATGATACACACGACAGCTGGAAAATGTATCAGTTCAAATGATGAAAATAGAAAACACAAAATACTCGGACTGGCCAATTTCGAATTTTGAGGTAACTTTGAACATTAAAATGGTGAAGTATCCTTTGTGATACCAAGGTGGTACCAGAAGTACACGGCCCGACCTAGAGATGGCGTTAGTTGTTTAAAAAATACCACGGTATTAATAATAATAATGTTCATTCACCATATTGATCACATGTATATAATAGAGATTGGGTAAATGAAAATAGGCATCACAGAGGCAACATTTTGGAAAAAATGTTCCTTATGCGTGATATTGCCAAACTATGGCAAACTATACAATGAATAGATATAAACTGTCAACTTTAAATTAGCATAATGAATGAACCTTCTTCCTGAAGTACGAAAAATCACTTACTTGCAGCGCAAAACTAAAATTTGCAATTGTAAAGGATAACAATGTTGTAACATCAAAACGTTGGCTTGCAAGCTGAAATTCAAAAGTAACTGGAAAAAAAGTGAATTATTAGGCAGGTTAGTAAACAGAAATTTAAAATAATTATAAATCTAATTTTTTTACTATTTTTTTTTCTATCTTCATGGCCCAAAATTTCCCAACTTTTTCCAACTTTTTCCCAAGTCAAAAAAGCAGGGGGGGAGGGTCCCCCCCATCCTCCCATGGCGACGACCCTGGGTTTTATAAATGGTACAAAAAACACGTTTTCTTCCGGATATCGATTATCCGACATTCAATTCGCAAAACAGCAATGCTTTGTTGGCATTATACTAGCACAGAATAATTTTTTGTATCAGATTTATATTTTTAAATAATAAATTAATATTACGTAAATAACACTGTTCTACATGTGAATAGTTTATGTTTGTCCCTATTACTTGGTGTTTGTTTCAATTCTTGCGTAGTTTCATAACCATGGATGGAACATGGGTCCATCAATCAAATCAGATAGAGAAACGGCTCCAAACAAGGTGAAGACTGTTTTATATGCAGGCAGGGTCATGACATCAGTTTTTTGGGATGAACAGAAATGTCCACCCCAATCTACTGCTTGGAATGAGGCTTGACATAGCAGATCACCTCGTGATGTAATACAAAGGCCGAAACGTAAGCGCATTTGCGGCGCCGCCGCAATTTATGCATTGATGCATAAATAATTACTTTTCTCACCTGTGATATATTGCTTGCCAACCCTTTTCAGTATCTCAATATCGAAGACTGTACACAACATTCCTTCCAAGATCCCGATTTGTGACCCAATTCCAAGCGACAGCAGCATCATGAAGAAAATGACCGCCCAGAATGGAGCGCCTGGCAGCTCCACTATAGCTTGGGTGAAAACTATGAAGGCAAGACCAGTTCCTTCAGCAGCCTGTAAAAAAATCAACATATGTGAAAAATAGAGTTCCAATTCATAGCTATGTTCGAAGTAAGGAAGCTATTATAAGGAAATATATTCACCGCATCCAATTCTCTGTCCAAGGAGCACTCCCTGATGTCAATTGTGTTATTGGCATGTAATAAAGCGTGCTGGTAGGTGTCTTCTGAGATTTGGGAAGGCAATAAACTTTTTGCTAGGAAATCGTGTTTCATAAGCAGATTGATGTTGCTGGAAATGATAAAAATTGATAATTATCATGTCAAAGGTTTTTTAATATAAAGAAGCCGATAATTTTTCTATATCCAAAGTAACTTCTATCAATTTAACAATTATAAAAATATAAATAAAATGTTTCTACATGGTAGTCTTTGGAATGAAATATGAGCAGTGTTTATCTTTTTATTCATTGTTGCGTATATGTATGATTAAGTATACCCATGAAGAGGGTCTTCAAGAGCCTATATGGGAAAATATATTTCTGAAATATTTGTTTACAATGTAATACTTTCCATATTCTATAATCATGTAAAAATTGTTCTTTTGTAAATAAATATCATTATTATTATTATTTAATGGTCAAGTCCTATGTTTCTTACTGAAAAAAGGCTTCTCAAATTTAGCAATTTGAAAAATTGTTAATGACTCTACCAATATTTCTGAAATGACCCAAAAACTCCCTATGTGACAAAACATGCACGTTTTGTGAGTATTCCGTCAGAACTGAAACAGTCCTTGAAAAAACGATCATCTTCATTCTTCACTTTCTGAAAAGTTAAAACTAATTATTCGAAGATTATATGATACCCTATGAATTCTAGGTATAAAAATCACGGAGATTTCGAGTCTAATCGTTCATCTAAATTTACTATTTTATCACAATCTGATAAGATTCACATACATTTTATACAGTGCGGTCCAAATGAAGTGTAGTTGTGTTCATTTTTCTCTTTACTGATAATTAAAAAAAAATATGACAATTTTTGTTAAAAAAACTTCACCCTCATCGATTATCTCGAAATATAGCAATCTCCTAAACAATTTCGAATAGAATGGCATTTTGTCGCTAGAAAGATATTTTTGTCCATTATTTCTTCTTCATTTCGTTAATTTTTCTTGAAAAGAATTGAATATAAACTTGAAAAGTTGAACTCCAGCATGTATCTGTTTCTGTTCTTCCGTTAACCAGCTATCCCAGTCGAAACATGTGCGAGCTAAGGACTAACGAGGTCTTACGTTTTAACGTGTGATTCCTAGCACAGGTTGGACGATAGAGAGTGAAAATTCATCGTCCAGCCTTGCAGTTCGAACCACCGGTTCACACAGCGGTCGATTGAGTGATTAGAGCGAACCAACCACCTCAACACAACCGGCTACCGTATGATCAAATGCTCCATTTGTTTTCTTTTACTTTGAAGCACACTGTATAGAATAGTAAATCACATTCACCCTGACTGCTCGCCCTGTATCAGTTTTCAATGATTTTATATGGTAACGTCCAAATGGGGTATTGAACGTACACAATTTTGAACTTTTATCATCTGATTGAATCTGTCAAAACCCATTGTTAGCAGCCAGAGTTGTGAAATACTCAGCATTAACCAGCCTATGAGTAATCTCATCAATAGTGGGTAAAGAAAAATGTTCACTTCTGATAGCCTTATTGAGGTCCTTGGGGTCTAAGCAAATACGAATGTCCCCGTTAGGTTTTCCAACTTTTATAATAGATTCAACCCACTCTGTGAGTTCCTGAACTGGTTCCTGAATGATGACATGAGAGTAGTAGTAGAAGAATAATAAAACCAGTAGGTACATAGATATAACCCCAGGATGTATTCAAAAATGTAAATAAAAAAAGGTATCTTAGTATTTTGTGCTAGGCAAAAGTAAAATCATTTCAGTTTAGTTTTAGTTTCACAATGTAAATTTGTTGTAAGTTATTATTAGTGTATAGTGTAATAATATCCATGTGGGAATGCATAACTGAATTCTATTAAAGATACAGTAATTTTTTATCATATAATGCGAACCCAGAAAAACAAACTACAATTTATTCAAATAATGAAAAATGTATTTCTTCCAGAGAGTAATGAAATGTGTTTGCATAAGAGATGTGTATACAATCCTCCATTTTGAGCTATGCATGAATTGAGTCCTCAATTTCTTTACGAACATCAAAAGAAATGAGGTCTGAGGACCTCGCTTGGTGTTCGAAAAACGTGTCGAGCTGTTAAAATAATGGTTTGGTGTTGGGAAAAATCTCCAGTAATATCCAACACAAAACCTCATACTTCTCAGACATGTTGAATGATAATTTCAAAACAAAATGCTATCCCAATAGACTAATTAGATTTAACATTCTTCAATGAACTGATACTCACTCTATACGACATTTGTCGACGTTGCTGACTGCTTTGAAGCCGAGAATTGCAAAAATAACAACGCTGGCATATATTGCTGTTACGGCATTGCAAACCGATACTAGAATGACATCTCTAACGCAGTTGTTTTTGGGGGTGTTGTAGGATCCGAAGGCTATGAGAGAACCAAAAGCCAGCCCAAAGGAGTAGAACACTTGAGTTGCAGCGTCCAGCCATACCTTTGGCATTAGCAGTTTCTCAACCTGGAAATAGTAATAAAAAAGATTCTCAAAATTTCACGCATAATAACAGTCCTGAGCAGCTGATTTGTTGAGTAGTTAAAGTAAGACTCACAGCAATTAGGCCACATGTAACCAATTCTACATCCTCCCAAGGAGTTGTCCTCCCCCTCATCGTCCATCCTGTCGTTTCCAGGAAGGTGGACAGGTCACTAGAGGTCAACTCCTTTATATCGGCAGGTGTAGGCCAAGACTTGCCGAACACACACTATCTTTGGCAACCTTGAGGTGTCTCACGGTGGCCTGCGCAAAGGTTTTGGAAGGTGCAGCGATATTACTGTCGTTGCGCGGCTTGTTCAACCCTCTTGGGGTTCCCTCCGTGGAGGTGCACAAGTGAGGGAGCTTTCTTGCAGGGGCAGCCGGTTCCTTGCCTTCATTCAAGGCGGAGCTCTTGGCGTTCACCGTAGGAAGGACTCTTGCTGTTGGAGGTGGTCTGCTATGTCCAGCCTCATTCCAAGCGGTAGATTGGGGTAGACATTTCTGTTCATCCCCAGCCACAGCCTTAGATTGAGGTGAGCACTTCTGTCCAGCCTCGGGATTGGTTTTTGTTTTTGTTGTTTCTGTTTTTGTGTTGTTTCATTCATGTGTGTTTCCACGAGCAGGTGATATTAGCAACAGAACCAATTTTTCTTGTATGTGTGGCCAGTTTGCATCATATTGAAAATTTTTCTTTAATAACTTCACATTCAAAATTTGTATGTAATATCATTCTTGTCATTTGGTTCAGATGAAAAGTAACCAACAGTAATATTAGTCGTTATTCCATTATCCATCAAATTCAATCTCTTCTGCAGAAAAGTTCTGATGTGGAAACCTGGAAAACCCGGTAAAACCTGTAGCACCATATTATCTGAAGATCTTGATCTGCCAATGTCCTCTCTTTCATAGAATGAAATGTAGGGAGTCTCCAGAGGCTCCAATAAATGCAAGATATCGCCGGAATATTTAGTGACAGGACTATCGTCAAACTTAAACCAGTCCGTTAGTTTGACGCATATTTGGCAACACAGTTGATCATTCCATTATTCGTCAAATTCGATTTTTTTGCAAAAAAGTTCTAATGTGAAGTTATTCCTCAAAATTTCAAAAAAGTCTTTCACCGATTTTTACAAATTGCGCCCCTGTTGTGAAATTAGACTCCACTCAATCTATTTGGAATCTTTCTAGTGAAGGAATAGTGGGTGGTGCTTTTCCAGAAAATCGACTGTCGAGGGGGACTTAAATTGATCAGCTACTAGATTTGGTTTTTCTATGACTGTTATTGCAATTGAACCATCCGCTTTGGTTGATGGTGGAATTATCTCAGTCATGATCTATTTCAACTAGAGCGAAATAATGATAGTTTCATCTTGTGATCGAACCCAAAACTGTCATGAATCTCATTTGGTTTTCTATTTATTCTACATCAATATTGTCAAAACATATCTACTAACCTTGGGTGTCAGCATATGTTCTAGTCCAGCCGCTGCTCCTTTCAAAGTGATTCCTCTTATGAAGAATATCGTCAGCACGAGATATGGAAAGACTGACGTGAAGTACACAACCTGGAATTCGTGAAGGAATATTTCAATTTGGGAAATAGGTGATGGTTATGAGGTTTCAAAACGGTACCAAAGCAACTTATGAGCAGGGTTACATATTGATGGGTTTGAACAGATTTTTCATTTATCAACGATATAGTAGTACGTATATAGTTCTTCATAACGATGCAAACGAATTGTAGAGAAATCCTCAAGCCGTTGAGTCGTTAAGGTACGAGTAGTATTTCTCAAATTCAAAGTGGTGTTTTGTGTGACAGTCAAAAGACGCATCCTAATTTGAATTTTTTATCACTCATGCAAAAAAAAGTAGTTTTCTTATCATGTAATCTGTAGACTTTTGGTTTAGGTCATCAATCATTCATATACTCACGTCAATTGGAAAATACGATATAGCTATTGTCAACTCCCCTTTTTGATCTTAAAAATTATTGAATATAAGTCACATTTGCTTCGGAAAAAATGCATTGAATTTATACGGAAACTTATCAGAGAGAATGAATGACCTTCATACAATTGTTTCAAATTTTTCATTACATTTCGAAATTATTTCAGGTTGAGGAAGGTGAAAATTCACCAAAAAAATAAAAACATTCCTTTCATGTCAATAATAACACCCCTTCTACAATTTTCCACCTGTTACCAAATTACTTATTATATCAAAGCATAATATTTTGTGTCAAGTTGGCTGATGAAGACTCATTTGGACTTCGTTTGTGAAATTCCTTGCCGTGTTTGACCAGTTTTCATATGATTTGAATTCACTCCCCACTTCAAAATGTAGTTAACATTTTAAGTCGAAGATGGCGCTTCGAACTCCCAGATTCTTATGTTCTTAGAACTCCATTTGATATACTAGAACAATCCCCTTCATCACTGTCCAACTTTACACATTGTACCATAATGACTATGGAACAGAGACGTTACGTCAATTATTGCTATGGTAGGCTCACGATACTACCATAGCAATAATTTTGGCTTTGAGAGAACTGTATTTTATTCAGATACACACCATTCTGAAAGTCGGCACTTGTGCTTCAGTGAAATGACTTGATCATGCTTCGTTTTCTGATCAGTGAAACTTATTCAAAACTCAACGTTTTTCATGTTTGAATTGAAACAGATACGGATTTGGATCCGGGTTTACACCAAAATAATAATTTTATAGAAAACAAAAGGGATTTTGGCTTTCTACTTNAAAAACTTGATAAAAGATTAGTTACCGTTTTTGCAGGCTTTGTTCAACCCATAGAAATCTACAGGGTGGTCGAGTGTAACAATTTAATCGAAATTGAACGACCTCATGCAGTTAGTTTTATGATATTTAGTATGTTGTAAAAATATCCCTAGACTTTTCCGATGTGTGTAAATGAGGAGCCAAATGAAAAATATTTTATGACAAAAGTTGCTACTATTTTCGGAATATATAGAACCTGCCGGCATGATGAGCTGTACCATTTATTAATAGAAGACATTAAATTAATAAATGAATCATTGATTGCTTAAATTCCAAATACAAACACGAAAATAGGTAGTTCTTTTGCATTGTTGAAAAAACATTGACTATTTCAATAAATACTTTGCATTACGCCCTTTTTTTATCAATCATTAACGTTTTTTTTCTGAAATACTCAAATTATAAATGCAGTGCCAACCCATTTGATATAAACACGTTTGAAAAAATGCCCTCCACCATTGCTGAGTTTCTGAACCTCCCGGAACCAAAGGAATATACAGGTCACTGTTTCAGAAGGTCTTCTGCTTCTCTGCTAGCAGAATCAGGAACAAATATAACGGATATTAAGAAGCACGGAGGATGGAAGTCTACAACAGTAGCCGAGGGTTACATCGATCGATTCACTTCAAGAATTAAATGCTCATGAAATTGTCAACTCAGATAGTTCAAATATCTTACAAGGCTCAAGGCATTAATATCAGCAGTTGTTCTAATTATACTTTTCATAGTAATGTTCATAAATAATAATAATAATGTAATCAATGTATATAATACATTTGTAACAGAATTTAATTGTACCTATATCTATTGTTCATAATTAAACTTCCATGAAAACTGAATAATTATGTTTTGTTTATTGCTATTTGGTCGAAAAAAATCGTGTTGAAAATACTACGCTACTTTGTGAACGTCATCTTTGAGTACTCTTGACAAACATTAAAAATGTCACTTTTAATGACAGTTGTATAAAAAATCTATGATTCCATTCAAGGAGAATTGAAATCTAATTTTCACCTGATCACAGTTCTTCTCTTCAGTTTATTAACAGAATTTAATCATATCTATATCTTTTGTTCATAATAAAACATCCTTGAAAATTGAATAATTATGTTTTTTTATTGCTATTCAGTCGAAAAAAATTGTGTTGAAAATATTTTCAACACTAGGATTCACTATATTGATGTTCAAAATATAGAGGTAAACGTTACATTTGATGAATGTCAGCATTGAGTAAACGTTGCTTTGTAAGTATGAAAGGTAAACGTTACCTTTGGTGAGTGTCACCATTGAGCAAACGTTGCTCTGTAAGTAAAAGAGGTAAAAGTTACCTTTGGTGAATGTCAGCATTGAGCAAACATTGTTCTGTAAATATGGATGTAAACGTTACCTTTGGTGAATGTCAGCATTAAGTAAACATTGTTCTGTAAGTATAAAGATAAACGTTACCTTTGGTGAACGTCACCATTTAGTAAACGTTGCTCTGTAATTAAAAAATGTAAACGTTACATTTGATGAATGTCAGCATTGAGCAAGCGTTGCTCTGTAAGTATGAAAGGTAAACGTTACCTTTGGTGAGTGTCACCATTGAGCAAACGTTGCTCTGTAAGTAAAAGAGGTAAAAGTTACCTTTGGTGAATGTCAGCATTGAGCAAACATTGTTCTGTANGACTTCAATTGACCCTAGTAGTTCGACAAAATGTCTTGAATTCTTCACAAAAGACGATGTTTTCCCTTGTAATGGTTGTATTAAGGGAAGTAAAAATCTAGACAAGTTTTGAGTAGCCGAATCTCTGGAGCTAATGATCGGTCTAAGCGGAACGTCCTTCTTGTGGATTTTGGGTAGACCACACAAGTGAGGGGGCTTACTGTGGTGCGGTGTTAGGCCTGATCTTTCCTTGTCCGAAAAATAGACTTGGTGTTTTTTCAAAATCTGGTCGATCAATATTCCACTGCCTAGATGGCGCTGCTAACACCAAGCATGTACTAATTTTGGAAACTCTTTTATATGTCGACACTAACTCTGTTGGAGTTGTCCATTAGTGATTGGACCCTATTGATTGTGAGGCTGGGTACTTTCTGCTACAGAGGATCTGACCTTTCAGTTCGAATAAAATTCTCGCTACCTGTGGGATGTATGATGAAAAGTCTTCATCCCTAGAAGGTGCGGTAGCAACGCTCTCTTCAACTTGGACAAAAAAATTTGTGAAGAAGTGAAAGGTTTCTAGAACTGGAGCAGTCAGATTTAGAAGGTATTTTGGTTGGGCGATCGGTGGAAGTCAATTCAAAAATAATTACAATTTGTCTATGACCAGATATGGTGTTCCATTTTTTTTCATGATGGTGGTCTATAACCAATAAGCAGAAATGCAAGATACTTTCCAGAAATCATATATGATCAGGTGTATGTATCTCAAGGACACATAGTGGCCTCGGCTCTGTTCAGTTTGTTCGTTAACGCCAATCGAGCCAAGAAAACATTGTTCAGCACGCTTCAAAAGTAAGGTTATATGATTGTCATAAGTAAATTATATAGTTTATTCGAATTGTATGAATTAGATGAAATATGACGATGTTATCGGTAAGAAATCGGAGCGGTGGTCAAACCTTTCATCATAATCGCTGCCAAATCCCTCAGAGATATAATAAAACAAATTTCACCTCTTTTTTTTCATGGTTCATGATATCATATGTCTCTCTTTAAAGAATAGTTAACTGTTTCCATTTTTATGTTGAAAAATGATCACTTGGGTGATAAATTTTTAAAACTACTTAGACATATACGATATCGATTCTGTCAAATATGTTAGTTGCCTTAAGCATCAAAATCGCCATGAAAAGTGGGTAATGATTAATCGCCATGAAAAGTGGGTAATGATTAGTCTACTTCATCTCCTGAAAACTTCAACTTGGTTGGCGGAACTCACGTCGAGAAGAGTGTTGTAGTTCGGGTGTTTGGGAGCGGTGCTTGTTTTGAAATTTCAATTGCTGAATGACAATAGAAATTCCAATAATGTAAATTAATATTTCAGCTATCCAGATTGTTATTTCAGAGGTTATCCCAGAATAAAATGAATTCATGAGGCCTGAGAAACCGATGGGACATGTTTTATGAAGATTGGTTTTGTTTTACGTTCTGAATCACTTTGAAGATCAGTTACTTTTCGAAATTGAAATTGACAGTTGTCAACACAGTTTTGTTTCGGTAAATTACTTTAACATGAAATTCCATGACATGTGTGTTATTTTTATCGGTATAATTCAATAATGTTTATTTGAAGGTAGTTAACAAGGTGGTTTCATGGTGAATTTCATCAGTTCAAACTTCCATTGTCCAATACGAATATGATATTGAATGATTTGAAATCCCTGAAAGAATCAATAAAATGGATAGTCCAGTCATTATCCGAAGACGATTGTGTATACTAACATTCGAAACGTCGTGAAGTAACTTGGCTTGAAATCTTTAAAATTTTGTCTCTTTTCAATGGCTAAATTTTCAACGCAATTCAATAATATTCATTTTAAACATTCCAATTTGCGAAACTATGTAATTAGGGTAACCTTCCAGTTTGAAATAGGATGAGAGTGTTTTTGACATTTATGTATCATCCAAACTGGGATAGAAAAGGTAAACGTTACCTTTGGTCAACGTCACCATTTAGTAAACGTTGCTCTGTAATCAGAAACGGTAAACGTTACATTTGATGAATCTCAGCATTGAGCAAACGTTGCTCGGTAAGAATGAAAGGTAAACGTTACCTTTGGTGAATGTCACCATTGAGCAAACGTTGCTCTGTAAGTAAAAAAGGTAAACGTTACCTTTGGTGAATGTCACCATTGAGCAAACGTTGCTCTGTAAGTAAAAAAGGTTTGGTGAATGTCACCATTGAGCAAACGTTGCTCTGTAAGTAAAAAAGGTAAACGTTACCTTTGGTGAATGTCAGCATTGAGCAAACATTGTTCTGTGGGTATAAAGCTGAGCGTTACCTTTGGTGAACGTCACCATTGAGCAAACGTTGCTCTGTTAGTGAAAAAGGTAAAAGTTACCTTTGGTGAATGTCAGCATTGAGCAAACATTGTTCTGTGGGTATAAAGCTGAAGGTTACCTTTGGTGAACGTCACCATTTAGTAAACGTTGCTCTGTAATCAGAAACGGTAAACGTTACATTTGATGAATCTCAGCATTGAGCAAACGTTGCTCTGTAAGAATGAAAGGTAAACGTTACCTTTGGTGAATGTCACCATTGAGCAACCGTTGCTCTGTAAGTAAAAAAGGTAAACGTTACATTTGATGAATCTCAGCATTGAGCAAACATTGCTCTGTAAGTATGAAAGGTAAACGTTACCTTTGGTGAATGTCAGCATTGAGCAAACATTTTTCTGTAAGTATAAAAGTAAACGTTCCACTGGTAAATGTCACCATTTGGCAAACGTTGCTCTGTTGAATTGTTTCAGTTCCCGAAATACTTTTTTTCTTATTTTTTTTTCTGCCATGGACACAACTGCGGTTGATGTATCTGGTCGTAAATCGGGTGTGGGTGTTATTTCAGCACTGCCAAACGTTCTAAACACTTTATTAGCTATTTCTGTCCTGTGATAAGCAGTCGCAGAAGATTTATCACATTCGATGTTCAAAGATCCGTTTTTATCCAGAGGACAGGATTCCCAAGGCAGAGGGTACTGAAAAGAAAAAATGAAATGTGTCACATTTAACCAAAATAATGGATATACGATTTCAGGCCGTTTGTTTCTATTATTATGTGGTAACATTGCTATATTCTAAACCTTAACAGATACGAAGACGATTAAAAGTGAAAAAAGGTAACTGATATCGGGGACAATACAATGGTCGAAAAAAATTAGAAGAGAAAATCTCGATATTTTATCCGTTTTTCCTCCTCTTCTCGGACGATATTCGTCTCGCGATGAACTGAAAACTCCACGACAAATATCGTCTTGCTCTGATGGTCGAGAAGGACTACATCAGGCTCATTAGCTTGTGTATGAACCTGAGGATGGGGAACCAATAGTTACAATAAGACACCAGTGTCTCGTGAATACCGTAAGAGTGCCGTAGATGGGGACTCTCGGGGACTCTCGTCCTTCTGGAGTTATACGGGAAAAACCAAAAATGCCATCTTTCGTTTTTTTCGAATAGAATTGTTATTTCGGAAAATATCAAAAAATGGAAAAAGGAAATATTATTTTATCCGAAGTGTGCTATGACGATGTAATGATAAATATTCGATAAAACGTTTCGTGTCAACATGGTCACCATCAACTTTTTTGTAAACACAGACCTGTCTTTGTTATTACAGATATTGTTAAAGCGATAAGTTTACAATCCAAGGGTATATCACATTTGATATTTTCAAAGCGTTTCATTTAAAATAACCACCATCATCAGTGACAGCAATTTTAAACTACTGTCCTGTCGTTACTTCTTTTGTAAATTGTTTCGATTTCATCAAAATATAATTCAGACAACCCAAAAAATTCGACAGGTAGGTACCCTAACTCAATGAAAATTCGTCCTTTTTCGTTTTGGAAATTTTTGTATTGCCGTAATCTTTCTCTCAAGGCTTATTTCTCACTAATCAATTATAATTTGTAATATTTTTATAATTCTCAATGCTGGGAATAACGAAAATGTCAGTTTTTGGTCAAACTTCGATTGTTGTATAATTCGGTATGATCAAATAGCATCTCAATTCATTCACCATCTTAAACGCATAGGCTTTGCTTGGTTTCTATGGCAAGAAAATTGCATGCATTGTTGATATCTGTTGAGAACTGTCAGACGTTTATGAACATATCAAAGATGTATTCAAATGATGAAAGGACTGATTGATATACTATTCAGATAGGCAAAATCAAATAGAAATCCTCTTTTGGCGAGGAATATGTATGTTGAGCTATATCCGAATCGTCGTAATCCAAACATCCAAATGTTCAGACGATTAGAAAGAAATTTGAGGGACTAAGGTGCATCAGACAAAAAGAAAACAATTTTCTGGAAGTATGAGAAATCAAATTAATGTTATGGGTAAGCAAATATTACTACATAAACATTTACACAGTGAAAACATATTTTTTTTTATTTAGGATTGATCAGTTACAAACATTATACTAATCAAGATTGTTCTTCACAAGAAATAGCACACGAAATGGGGATTTCTGTAAAACCCACCAGAACTATTTTGAAAAAGAACGAATATAAAGTTCATCACTTCAATGAAAAGGATTACGAAAGGAGAGTACGATTTGCGAAGTGGTTAGGAATGGTTAGGACTCTAGAGTCAATAATCTTTTTTATGAACAAATGTTCACAAACACACATACAAATTCAAAGATAATTTTTAAAATACCTAAATGAAATAGATTCACTCTCTACAGTGTCTCACTTCTCATGGAAACACCCCCGTATCTTCCGTAATATTCGAGGTAGAACGATAAAACTCTCTGATCTGATGGAAATACTCAAAATGTACCTACCAACTGAATGGGGTTGGCCAAAGTGATATACACTGTATGCCACTCGTGATGGAACACCCCATTTTTACGGTAAAACATATTAGAGGGCAAATAGGCTCAAAATTTCTTCAGATTCGTAATCAGGACTACCAAATTACTACGAATACACTTTTTTCCTGAAAAAATTTCAGTCCTGAAAAATCCGAATTTGTCTGACTTCTTATGGAAACACCCCCGTATCTTCCGTAATATTAGAGGTAGAACGATGAAAGTCTCTGGACTGATGGAAATGCTCAAAATGCACCTACCACCTGAATGGGGTTGGCCAAAAGTGATATATACTGTCCGCCACTCGCGATGGAACACCCCATTTTAACGGTAAAACATATTAGAGGGCAAATAGGCTCAAAATTTCTTCAGATTCGTAATCAGGACTACCAACTTACTACAAATACACTTTTTTCCTGAAAAAAATTCAGTCCTGAAAAATCCGAATTTGTCTCAATTCTTATGGAAACACCCCCGTATCTTCCTTAATATTCGAGGTAGAACGATGAAACTCTCAGGACTGATGGAAATGCTCAAAATGCACCTACCATCTGAATGGGGTTGGCCAAAGTGATATACACTGTCCGCCACTCGCGATGGAACAACCCATTTTTAGGTAAAACATATTACGGCGCAAAATAATTCGCTTCCAACCATTTTTCCAACATAATTTATCTTGGAGTACCACAAGGATCAGTACTCGGACCTACCTTATTTCTGCTTTATATCAACGACTTGACTATCATCAATATATATTGATCAATATGATAGTCAAGTCGTTGATATAAAGCAGAAATAGGGTAGGTCCGAGTACTGAGCCTTGTGGTACTCCAAGATAAATTATGTTGAAAAAATGGTTTCCATTATAATTTATCTGAAGGCATCATTTTAAACTATAATTGAGATACATTCTCAAGTATCAGAGACTATCTGCCTTTTTGATTATAACATTTTAGTATTACACTGAATGGCCCCATAACTGAGGTTGAAACTAATCATATAACTCACAGATAACTATTTCCTATTATTTTTTCATTTGGAAAACTGTATTTTCAATTTTGAATAGTGAAGAAGTAAAAATCTGAAAGAGAGATGTCTTTAAAGATCATAAGATACGAACGATACTAAAAATGTAATGATAACTGACCAACCTTTAGTCAGCTTCGAGAATTTAATGTGGCTGATTATAACCCAGGCACGTAGAAAAAATAAGACACCATTTTCATCCTGCATTGAACATTTTTCTCAACAAAAATGATTAAATGTTTCATCTCTGAAATTTACTCACCTGAAAACTGTTGAAGAGATAGTAGAAGCACCAAGTGATGATGACGTTGTAATAGAGGGCTACAAAAAAAGTAACGATGCAAGAGGAAATTCCGATTCCCCCCAACCATGGATGGATAGTGTTCCAGACTCCTAAAGAACCCAGTCGCATCTTCTGCCCGATTCCTAATTCTATGAGGAAGAGAGGGATGCCCTCTAGCACTAGCATCACAGCAAAGGGTATCAGGAAGGCACCTGGAAGATTGTGTGTATTTTCTATAATGTTATCCAGTTTAGTACTGAATAGCCTTAGGGCGAGTGTCTTACGGCGAAACATCGATGTATACCAGTGAGGATGACAGTGTTCCATGTAAGTACAATTTGTTACCATTCATTTAAAGTAGAACTCATGTGAATGATATCTGACTTTAATCCACAACGAATGATTGAAATACAAACTGAGTAGAGAGAAGTATCTTCTGTTTAATTCAGTGTTCATATAGAAATATATGTTTCGAAAGAATTTTCTTTCGTGTAATTCAATGTTTATATGAAAGTAGCTGTTTCAGGAGGACTTTCTTTCAGTTTGTGTCTGAAAGTTACTTCTTTGCATGATCTACACAACCATGTATAGAGTTATTTATTTTCAAATTGATTACTTCCTTCCTTTCTTTGGAAGATTTCCTAATCCTTTTTTTGTATCAAGATGGAGTAGTAGAAAGCAAAAAAAAACTTTCAGGCAAGCTGAAAGGGGAGGTATTTAAATGAACGAAGGTGCAAATGAAATTCAACAGTGTAGATCATAGAGATTACCGGGGTTGTCAAACTTGAGAATTCGAGAATGGGGACCTACGTAAATCGAGCTGCTCGTTTAGAACTATATATTTCGGGTTTTTAATTGATGTATTAATTTTCATGGCTGACAACGAATGCATTTTCTTTCCTTTATTACATGTGTGTAGGTTTTTGAGATTATCTCTACTTATTTTGTGTTTTGATTTTTGTAGATGTTCATACATTGTAGATTTTTTGTCAGTCAATATTTATACCGGTTTGGCCTATATATACTGCAGAGCATTTCCCACACTCTATTCTACTATACCTGATTTTTTCACCCGTTTGGGTTTTGCATTGAACAGAATTTTGCCTAAATTGTTATTACTTATGAAAGCTGTTAGTATTTTGTATGTAGACAATTAACTTTGAATATTTTCACCTGAGTAATTAATGCTACTTTATTCACATGTTTTTAGTATTTGGGTATAATTTACTCGTAAATATTTGATGAGTTTTATCAGATATTATCTTTTCTATCATATAAACTGGTACCCGATTAATTACTGAAGATGAACGTATACTTGGGCTATTCAAAATTAATATACTTTGGTAAAACTAAAAAACACGCTTTTAAAGAACATAGAACAAAAAAACCGAAACTGAAAGCAATCCAGATGAAGATATTTCATCATTAACTGTGATAAGAAATATTTAATACCTTTCAACCCCATATGATGTATTGGTAGAGCAGTCTTTTCAACAACAAACAGCAAGTTTAGTTAATTAAACAAATTTTTCGTGCCAAGTTATTACACCGTCGGTATTGAAATATGACATGTATCGGTCTCGAATCCTTTTTACGACTTCAAAAGCATGTCGATTATATCCCCGCTGCAAATTCGTCATATTTATCAACGTGATCATATTTGTCATGGGGTGATCTTCCAGAAAAAGAACAACAACTGTGGGGGCTCTTAGAACTCCCGTTAAACGATGGATATAGGTTGAGACCGCATATTCCGGACATGCTGACAGCTAGTCCTTCAGGGTCTCACGTGCTTCATGCACCCTGTGTCGGAAGCCTCTATACCCATCAAGCAACTGCGGAAGATTAAGAGGATAAAGACACCATTCTGGCAGGTCATGATGAAATCCTCAGTGTCCTTCTTCAGCCTACTCGACCTGAGTCAAGCAAAGATCAGGCTCTTTGATAAACCAAGGTCTTCAGTGTTGTTGAAGGAGACTCCATGCATTGGGCCTTCTGTTGAACGAATCAACTCTGTCACGGAGTTGGAAATCTACTATGTAACTGATAACCAAATCACAGGTAGTGATTTTTCACATAGTGACTTTTCAAACTAGTGGAGCCAAAACGGCTTTGGGATCGAATAACTAGGGTCTAACCGGTGAGGTCAAATCACTTTCCTACTCCGACAATAATCACTACAGCTGCTGCTGCTACTTTTGCTGGTGCTATCGCCACTAATATGGATATCCTACATAATTGAAGGCCCCCTTTCTGGAGGCCTTCCAGCTTACCTGATCTCACTCCCACTGACTTTTTCTGGGAGCTTATTCGAAGACTGGAAACAAGAAGAACCTCTATTGATAGGTACTACTAACAGGTAGTATTCATGGGAACCTCTATTGATAGGTACTACTAACAAAAATTGATAGATTGATTTTACGCCAGAGCAGTTGGATGAGGCATTGTAACAGTGGTTTTAGCGCGACCGGAGAATACCCCTTAATGGAACTCTGCTACAAGAGCATATCCCTATATTACAGACTTGAAAAGCGTAACGCTGGTGTTTTTGCCTCCAAACACGACATCAGTGTTGCAACCCATGGACCAAGGGATTATTCGAGCTTTGAAATCACATTTTCGTAAAAACGCTAACGACGCGAATAGCAAAGATAATGACGGTGATGATACCGCACCAGAGGAGATTTATCCAACCTTTAATGCGTCAGAAGCTCCAAAGGCTGCGGAAATGCTCGATGTGTTTGTTCAGACTAACTTGGATGATAATGTTATGAAAACAGTGATGTCGCGAATTCACAATGCTGTACGAGATTCTTACTATCGAACAGAAGTTTGTCAAAAACAAACTCAAATAACAGACTTTGCACATATGTTTGTACATTAGGACATTTGAGAACTATTGAAATGAAGCATATGTGATTTCATAAAACGTTTTATTCACCTATCGATCAACAATCCGAACAGCTAAATGAGAGACTAATGAACAAATGTACGATTTACTACCACAGAATATCCGTTTTGTGCGTCGTCCGGTTAGTACGACATAGTATATCCGGTCCGTTGAAGGTCGTTATATCCGGATTTTACTGTAGTTGTCAAAACTTCTTGATTATATCTCTATTGAAGAAGTTATTAGTAGTTATTTGCTAACTACAAGCTGTATTCATAAAACGCCTCAAGGTACCATTTCCGATAATTTAGTATTAGGAATCTCAATTTTTGATAAAATGTGTTTTGAGAGTATGAAGAAAGTGTGTTAAAAACATTCGACGAAAAACATGATTACCCACAACTGCAAAACAAACGGAAACATAGTAGGGAACATAATTCTGGAATGATCGAAGATAACCGGGACGATATACCCTTGTGAAATAGAACCAGAAGCACCAAACCCACATATCCAACTTCAGTTTTCAGGATCTGTGTTTTTGGTAGTTGAACGTTTCGATTTTGAAGCCATTTTCAAAAATCTATCACAACCTTGAGGTCTCAATCTGCCTCCTCCTCAATTAGTGACTGCTGCGAGGGTTTTTTGACTTGGCCTCACTCTGCGTATTTCCCAGGTTTCGTCGCTGGTCTCGGCAAGGATCAACCCCACATTTTTGGTGTTACAATTTCCTTCTGTTTTTAACCGAAACTGAAAGCAATCCAGATGAAGATATTTCATCATTAACTGTGATAAGAAATATTTAATACCTTTCAACCCCATATGATGTATTGGTAGAGCAGTCTTTTCAACAACAAACAGCAAGTTTAGTTAATTAAACAAATTTTTCGTGCCAAGTTATTACACCGTCGGTATTGAAATATGACATGTATCGGTCTCGAATCCTTTTTACGACTTCAAAAGCATGTCGATTATATCCCCGCTGCAAATTCGTCATATTTATCAACGTGATCATATTTGTCATGGGGTGATCTTCCAGAAAAAGAACAACAACTGTGGGGGCTCTTAGAACTCCCGTTAAACGATGGATATAGGTTGAGACCGCATATTCCGGACATGCTGACAGCTAGTCCTTCAGGGTCTCACGTGCTTCATGCACCCTGTGTCGGAAGCCTCTATACCCATCAAGCAACTGCGGAAGATTAAGAGGATAAAGACACCATTCTGGCAGGTCATGATGAAATCCTCAGTGTCCTTCTTCAGCCTACTCGACCTGAGTCAAGCAAAGATCAGGCTCTTTGATAAACCAAGGTCTTCAGTGTTGTTGAAGGAGACTCCATGCATTGGGCCTTCTGTTGAACGAATCAACTCTGTCACGGAGTTGGAAATCTACTATGTAACTGATAACCAAATCACAGGTAGTGATTTTTCACATAGTGACTTTTCAAACTAGTGGAGCCAAAACGGCTTTGGGATCGAATAACTAGGGTCTAACCGGTGAGGTCAAATCACTTTCCTACTCCGACAATAATCACTACAGCTGCTGCTGCTACTTTTGCTGGTGCTATCGCCACTAATATGGATATCCTACATAATTGAAGGCCCCCTTTCTGGAGGCCTTCCAGCTTACCTGATCTCACTCCCACTGACTTTTTCTGGGAGCTTATTCGAAGACTGGAAACAAGAAATGCTATGCTGATGTAAATACTACAATATAAGGGAATAAATGTGAACTTTCAATGATAAAAATCGCTAAAAGTTATAAAGAAAATAAATAACGAATAAATGAATGTGCTGCAGAACGGATAATCGTTTTTGAGAAGTCTCTGAAATGGTTTTGAATATTGCATATCATACAAAAAAGTTTATGTGTTCGCTCATCTTGACTTCTTCATTTTCCGCTTCACAAAAAGAATTGCTTTCCACCCATAAAAGCAATCAAACTGAGGCAATCATGTTCATCAAGTAATATTCCATGTCTTTGATTGAGCCTTTTAATTTACAGTTATGTTTTGGTGACATGCGAGAGTTCAAGGTCGATTGGATAATTTCTTCGCTCGTGGAAAACTCACGAGACATGAAAAACGAGCAGATTGATCAACAGTCTGCGTTTTCAATTAAGCTGTATCCCTAGAGATCTATCAGACCTATGGGGCGACCTACAGGAAATTACATGGACGATAAATTCACAATAAGTGCAGGAAAATTGAAAATTTCATTGAACGAGTTTGAACGAAATGGTTTTTCCATTCGTTCGAGGTTTATTAAGTTGAACCTCAAAATTATCACTGTCACAGTATGCCGCTTATTTCTGATTTGACAGATTTGGTCATCGGAACTGTCGGGGAAGAACAAAGTTGTTGCAACAAATACGCTTGCCGTTCCAATCTTACTCTACTCATTTGGAGTTGTGAAGTGGACTCGGGAGGAGCTGTATCAACTCGACGTAAAGACCCGAAAAATGATGCATCTCTATAGGAGTCTGCATCCCAAATAGTCTGTTCCTCGGTTGTATTTCCCCCGACAACAGGGAGGCCGTGGACTTTCGAGTTTGGAGTGTCCACATGACAGAATGGTACTGGATACAGTCTGTAAAGTCGTCAGGAGTTCGGATCCCCTTCTCTGCATGGTCCGTGACCATGAGAGAGCAGGAATTGGAGCATTTCTCCTTAGGGCAGCTGCTCGAGCAGCCGATGAACTCGGTATAGTTTTCGACTCTGAACGAGGTGACCACAACTCTGTCACCGAGTTGGAACCCGTTCAGCAAAAAGCTCAGACAACAGACAACTTCATAATACCTACATGTTTGAGTGAAATACAACAAATTAGGTGGAAAAGATAATTTTGTGCCCTTTCAATTGGTATATCACTCGACCCCACTTTCCTTTTAAAATTTTAGGGTTGTTACTCACCCTCGCTAGAGGGTAAAAGGCACAGGTAGAAAAATACATCTAAAATGTGTCCCCCTCAAAAGCAAAATTGACCTGTCCGAGCATTACAAGTTACAAAAAAAGGAGAAAAGCAAGGTGCATACCTTTCGTTGGACCACTCTGTATGATAGAATCTCTAATTGTATAATTTTTAATTGTCTGATCTTGAGTGTCAAACGTTTTAGATAGATTGAAGAGGAGGGCACCGATAATTTTGTTTGTCAAGGTGATCATAAACATATTTTAAAAAATCGTAAGTTACACTCTCTATCGATCTACCTCATCAAAATCCATTCTGATGTCAGGTAATTATTTTATTCTCTGACAGAAAAAACATAATTTTGGTACAAACGGCTTTCTCCAGAAATTAATAATAACCGTTAATTCAGTAAGCAGTAGAAAATCATCGGTTTCTTTAGAACTCTTGCTTTTATGGACAGAAGTAACTACTGATTTCCTCATTAGGATATCAGAAATTTTCTGATTGATTTGAGTTTTTGTGTATACATAGGAGCAAATTGATTCGGAAATTAACATTTCGGCAATATTTTTGAAAGATATTCCCTTAATTTAAAATGAAAATAATACTTATTGAAAATGCAATACAGAAATATGAACAGAAGAATTTTTTCCATTCACATATTTTATTTGTTTATTCGAAAAACTGAAATTTTAGCAGTCATACCATCGTTGTGAAGTTGGTGCTTTGAAGTCAGATGAAACTGAGTTGCATTATGGAGAGAAATAGGTAATCCGAGGAAGAATTCTCAGAAGAAAAAAACTGCTAACTTCAGCAATAAAGGAAAAAATAAGAGTTAGTAATCTCCCATAGAGAGTTTGAAAGTGATATATAATAATATATTCAACCAATCTCAGAAAACAGTAATAGTTTCCTAAAAAATACAACCCATTTCATAGATAAACTTAAAGACATAATACTCATTGATGGTGATGTGCTGATGAGCTTTTCACGAATGTTCCTGTTGATAAAACTCTTCAAATTGTCGAATCCAGGTTGGAAAATGACTCAACTTTAAAACATCGAACGAAGTTGGATGTTAATTCTATATTAGAACTTTCAAGATTATGTATAGACAAAACCTATTTTCAATATGGAGATGATTTCTATCAACAAGAATTTGGCATGGCTATGGGTTCCCCTTTATCTCCCATCTTAAGTAACATATATATGGAGTATTTTGAAGAATCTTTTGTTGAAACTTATCAGAATGGTCCCAAAGTTTGGTGGAGATACGTTGACGATATTTTTGCTGTTTGGAATAGAAACAATGATGACCTGAATACTTTTTCGAATTATATCAACGAGCGGGAGCCGACAAAAAAATTCACAATAGAGATTGAACAAGATGGTCGACTCCCTTTCCTTGATGTAATGTTGGAGAAGTCATCAGATCAATTTGATACAAATGTTTATCGGAGGAAAACATATTCAAATAGATATCTTCACTATACATCAAATCATCATGCGATTGTTAAAAAAGGTAAAATGAATTGTCTACAAAAGAGCTAAAACGATATGCAATTCAACTGAAAATCTCAATAAAGAAATATCATTAATTAAATCTATTTTGAAAGATGACGCTTATCCAGATTCGTTCATAAATTCAACGATAAATGCAATTGAAAATAAAGAGTCAATTAAAAACCAAACGAACATACAAACAGCTTTACAAATTCAACAACATCTAACTAAACAATTACCGACTCAACATCCACCGACACCTTTCACAACTAACGTTATAGCTTACATTCCAAGACTATCTGAAAAAAAAATACTACGAATACATATGATGTTAGAACTACTTTCAAAACAAAAAATACACTGAGATCTATACTCACACATACAAAACCCAAAAATACTGAAGAAAAAACAAAAAATTGTATTTATAAAATACCTTGTTCTTGTGGTAAAAATTACATTGGTGAAACCTCAAGACCATTGAAAGTGTGTGAGAATGAACATCAAGATTATTTAAAAAATAGACAATTGACAGGATCAAAATTATCAGAACATATTTTAAAATCAGACGGTGAACATCGGGTGATTTTTTTGAAAGTTGACTTGTTTTAACCATTTGCGTCCGTCCCATTAAGTAGGAATCGAACCATTTGTGAGTTATTCCTCTGCATCCATAACGTTGGAGCTTTCTCAGTAGTATCTTGTGATCAACGCAGTCAAATACCTTTGACAAGTCACAAAATACTGCGGCAGTCTTTTCACCGACATTTATTTCAGAATAAACTTAATTCAGAAATGAGAAAATAGCTTCGTGCGGATTTTCATTATTCTGAAAGCGGAATTTAGTTTCTATAGTGCTTTTTTTACATTCCACTGGAAAAAATTATTCAGCCAGTGATTTGTGAATTAATAAAAGTAGATTTTCAGATAGGATCTCTGGTAATTGATAAAATTTATATATAAGCTTTCTCACATTATTCGTAATAAATTCAATATGGTTACCCCATTTTGAGTTTTTCTCTATTATTACTACCAAGTACTTGATTGAATATTGAGTAACGTCAATTTCGCAATACCCTGTATATTTCTTGGACAATATTTATCTGCGCATCTCCAATATGAATTATCAAACACACCAACCCAACGAGGTCAAACCAGCCCTATATAGGTCAATATCAGCGAACTCACCTCCTCCATTTTGTTGGCATAGGTAGGGAAACCTCCAGATATTACCCAACCCCACCGAATAACCTATAATTGACAAGAAGAACTGCAGCTTTCCCGACCACGCCGCTCTGTCAGGATCTTGCTCCATCGCACCGCTGCCTCTGGAAATGATCGACCCCCGGGGCCCCTGAAGAACAATAGTCACTCCCGGCTTACCCCTCGATTCGGACCCGTTTCTGCTAGTCAGTGGAGCCAGCTCGTGCCCATTTCTGGTCATCTCAGGAAGAGTTTTGCCCGACATTACGTTCTTACACTAGGTCCTTACTTTATTATTGCGAAAAATACTGAAGGTCACCGAAGACGAAACGTTGGAAGCTGGACCGTGTCGAGATTAACCCATATCAACCCACGTAGAGTCGCGACACTAGAAATCAATATCGGGCATGTGCTTTTGATGCGAAAATGGACCTTATCGAAATATAGAAACGACAGGTTTGGCGGTCGGAAGAAGACTGGGGCAGGATTCATTGGGGTATTCAGGACTGAAACACGCGGCAGATTTTGGGGTAGTTTCACGCAGGCTTCGCAGGGGTGGATTCCCGTCTTGCAGGTTATGGGGATACGTCACGCTTTGTAACGATTACAAGGAAGGGAAATGTTTATCGATTCTTGGAACATTCGACTGATACGTATCTTTGTCATGGCCAAATCAAAGTATGTTCTCATCGTTTAGTGACACGTTCATGGGTGAACACATACTGGGTGTCACTGGAAAACCGAGTTGAATGTCACGAGTTGCTTGAAAATGCTAGAACAGAAAATTTGGATGGGGAAGATGCAAAATGAGAAAGATATCAAAGTTGTGAGGAAAAATAAAATTCTTGTAGATGTCCGGTTCATATCAATTCCAGATCCAGGATGTCCTTGCGTTGAAAAAGATATTCTATGGGTCTTATTAGTCAATGGGCTATGCTTGAAGACTGGCAATAAACAAATCTAAAGCAAAAGAAACTTAAAACGTTCAAACCAGTCTCAATATACCTACACAGTAGGTTTAATGGACTGACGCCTATCAGAAAACAACTACTCCCCTGGCTAATACCACGAAGGGCGTTGGATTATATCAGACAGGCGTCAGTGCAGAGTATGAACAATCAATGAAGGAGAAATAGTAGTAGCAAGTGGTAGACCCCATGGGGTGTTTTATCCTCACTATCAAAGAAACTTATAATGGACTAGGTACTACGTCTTCTGGACAATAATGGACATACAGTACTGGGGTATACAGACGGCCGAGTCCAGGCAAATATAATGCAGGGGTGTATGAAACGGACCAAGAATATCATAACAAAATAGACCGATGAAGAAGATCTGAACATAAGACCAAAAAATGAGCTATAGTAGTATTCAGCAAGAAGACCAACACAAAGGCCTACAACCCATTGAACTTCAAAGTGGAGAAACATATATCTGGGAGTGATACTGAATCCTAAGTTGCCCTGGAATCAACATCTAGAAAAGACTAGTACCTACTGGAGTTCTATCCCACCACCAAACTGTTATTTTTTACACCTCGACACGTGTTCTGATCCCCAAGTGATCATCTTCAAGAGGAAGAATAAACTAAATCTACATACAATGTTCAGTGTTCGGGTTTTAAGACCGTCGTGGTTTGGAACTGTATCCTAACGTTTTTCCAGCTGGCTTCTTCAGAGGTCTATTTATCTTGATAGTTGACCGATGACTAGTAATTTCTAATTCGTAAGCTGTATTCATGTTGATACAGGTAGCCTGCCTTTCTAGTTTCTAGGTGCGTTGTCATAACATCTTTTAGTATGGGATTCCAAATCCGATTGAGCATTATCGCCTCCTCTTTTGTGTCGTAGTTCATCCAAATCACTTGTGAGTGGAGATGCATACATCCCCTTTTATGAAAAAGAGGAAACGAGTTCGCACCTTTCAGCCTTTTGAAAAGTTATTATTGAACTATTGATTTTAGTATTATAATGAATTATATACAAAAAATCGTCTTTTATATATTTTTCCCTTGGAAAACATTACCTGAATTGGGAGCAATATGAAATAACCGTTTTCGATTTTTCATTATTTACCTGGTAATTGAGCGACTATTTTTACTATTTCTGGTTCTTTTCCACAAATCAATAACCTTTTCAATCATTTCAGGTATTGAAGAAGTCTTGTGTAGAACGTTTTGCAATTGAGGAAAAATATGGTGAGTATAGGAGAGTAGAAAGCAGAGAGTTACTGAATTTTTTTAACACAATTCACAACAATTTGAAAATTATCTAAACACATAATAAAATGGTTCCAAATAAAATAATATAAAATATACAAAGTGACATACGAAATTTAGGCCATTGAATTTGTATGACTATTTTATAAGTGCATCTGTCGAATAGATACCACTTGTAATTAGACGGGATTTCATAATGATATTGAAGATCCTAGAATAATGATCTAACAAAAAAATATGTATGTTTTCAATACAGGGTTGATGAATGGAAACATAATTAATACATTTCCGTGACAGATCCCTGATCTTCAGCCCTGTAATAGTTCCTGTCAGATTTTGAAGTGATTAAAAAAACCTCTGAATTGGAAAAAAGATAAATTAAAAACAAATATTCTTCTAGGAAACCAACTCTTCGGTTTTCTACTTCTTTTTTTATTACAGAAAAATGAGTTTTTTTAGTATTAAAAAACTTATATGCATTATCTATAGANCACTATCTTGCACTGATGAGTGGCTAATAAGCCCGAAACCGGTCTGCAAGTGTGCCCGTTCCATAATTGAAGGTCGACTCTTTCAGTTGTATTGCCAATTGCATATGCAGGACATTTTCTGTGAAGATTCCTGCACTGACGCCTGTCTGATATAATCCAACGCCCTTCGTGGTATTAGCCAATATCAGAAGTGTTTTCTGATAGGCGTCAGTCCATTAAACCTACTGTGTAGGTATATAGAGACTGGCTTGAACGTTTGAAGTTCCATTTGCTTTAGATTTATTCTATGGGTATTTGTGAAAGACAAGCCAACAAGGTCTGTTGTGCTATCGAAAAAAATGGATGCGAGAATTTGCATAGAATTTTGTGTAAAAATGAATTTAGGTGCTTAAAAACACTTGAAATGTTGACAGTGGCATAATGTGATTCTACTCTGAGTTGGAAAAAATGTTTACAAGTGGTACAAGCTCTACACAGAAGGTAGAGAATACGTTCTGGAGGCTCCACCTCATCAATCACTGATACAAATGTTGAGGAAGTGATAAAAACTGTTATAAAGAATCGCCGATTCACTATCAAAGAAGTTGCTGAGGATATCGGTATATCGGTTGGCTCATGTCACTAAATTTCGAGAAAGAATGCACTATGTTGAATGGCTATGTTAATGTTTTATATTCATCCGAATATACAGTATTCTAATTAGGAACAGTGGTTCAAGCTTTTGAGAAGCAGCCTTTGCAATTCCAGCGACACAATTGTGCCAAGACATATTAGTGTCTATTTCAACCACCAACAAACTTATCGAAGTAGAAAGCGGAATTGTCTGACCTGACATTATTATATCCAGTTCGGAGACATTTACCTTCTTGGAGAAAACCGATACCTAGGTTTTTGTGGCCTTGAATTGAACCTGGTTACTTTCATCCCAATTCAAAATCACCTCTAGATCCTCATTAAGATATGCAAACTCCTGCTGCCGGTGAAGATGTACATCCGCAGCCGATGTCCTGGAATCCGAATTGAATGACGAGTATTACTTATTGTGTTACAGTTGATGCAATGGTAACTTAAGATGCATATAAACACATTTACCTATGCATTAAACTCAGTCTCAGTCATCTCGTGATGATGCTGACTTGGTTGGCGAGAAACGCGTTGATGTGGGAAGTGTTTTCAACAGATTCATTTTACGTCAGATGTTTCAATTTTACTCATCAATTTGGATCGATTTGGTTCCGCCAACTCAACGGTAAAGCTTTTCTTGAAAAAAATCGGATACTCCCGTACGAGCAGTCTCATTGACATTCCTAAAAGAAACAATTTCAGGTGTACCTCAGGGAAGTATTTTAGGACCCTTGATGTTTTCAGTGTCTATTTTTGATTACCCCACTTTCTTATCACATTGTCAAGTACATCTATACGCAGATGATATACAGTTATATTTGTCTTCTCATAACACCGATACAGAAAGTTGCGTGGCCAATATAAACACAGATTTGCACAAAACATTCCTAAACTCGGAGAATCATGGACTGAAAATCAATCCAAATAAAACTTTGGCCTTATGCATAGAGTCTCAAAGACAAATAGTAGAAACTCAGTGTAACTTTAGGCTCACTCTCGATAACGCAGACATTGACTGGGTAGACAGTGCTAAAAATCTTGGCGTAACCATAGATAGCTCTTTGTCTTTCCATGAACGTGTGACAAACATTTTCAAGGAATCATTCTCAAACTCAAATCGCTATACAAATTCAAGTATCAGTTATCAGAAGAAATGAAACTCAGGTTAGTTAATACTCTTATTTACCCCCATATCGAGTATTGTTGTTGGGTGTATTACAATTTTTTGCCGCAATATAACAAGCAGAAGTTACAACTTATACAAAATGCTTGCATGTGATTTGTATGCTGTATACCATATGGTGAACATTTTGTTAAAAATGAAGGAGCTGAATGAGAGGTACAGAGTCCAATATTTGATAAAAATATTTTTGTTTAAGTTGTTTCAAACTAAAACACCTAGTTATTTATATAGTTTATTAAGCAGGCATTCTGACATACTTATGGTCAATTTGGGAATTTAAAATTCAATGTATGGTAGTGCAATGGAATTGTTGAATTGACCAAAATAGTGTTAGGAATATTGAGAGTTATTAGCTATTAATTTTTTCTTTTCAATCATTGTTATGATAGTAAATGAGTATTTTTATAATTATTTTCTTACACTCACTGTATACTTTTTGGGAGGGGTGGAAGATAGACTTTGTCTAATCCTTTTCCTTTTATGTATAAATGTATTGTTTGGGAAAAATGAAGATCCACCTTATTTTTTCAACAGACATGGTATATTAATTCTTTGAAAAATATTTTTTGGATATGCCTGGGATATATGCCAAAGTTCTACTCGAAATTGAATATTAGAAAAGAAAAGCTTGAGAATAGAATATTTTACAGTTGTGTCTCATTTTGATAACTTTTTTTGATAACTATTGTCCTTATTTCTTCACAACAAATTGAATTCTATCAAAGTCTGTCAATTATTCCTATAATTAATTCTGCAGAAGCATCAGAAAGAAACAATCTTTGTCAAGGAGAACAATGGAATTCAGAAAGCGACAAAAACATCTTCAAACATCACAACCAAATGAAAAAAAAATATATCGTTGTATTTGCATTGATTTTTTTCTCACGTTTCGAAATTTATTTGATATTTCATTCTTGTGTGTGGGTTGTATCATATTCTCTGGAATGAATATATATTTAATTAATGAGCTTTATGTAACACTCGAAGAGGATATTACATAGATGTCTGCAATGAAAACTGTTTGGGTATACATTACGGATATCCACCGGATATTCATAATGAATACTCGATGGAAGTCCTAGTCTTTGTCCTACCATAACCACCATCAAAATACTACTACTCTGATTGTGGTTCGTTCATTTTAGAAAATGTGTGTCCAATGAAGAACGTAAAAGTAGATAAACTCCTAAAATACGTCATACTTTCGACTATCAAATATACTTGATAATAATAATTTGTTTTGACTCTCAACAATATTAAGATTATTTATTTTTTGATTCAGCAAAAATGCAGATTTTTCCGTTGATTAAGCAAATACGTAATTTCCTCAGATTGAAACAATATATTTGATTCGAGACATATTTATGAAGTTCAATGTTATACTGAATATTTCAATAACGAAAAAAATGTATATATGACATTCAAAAATGAACGTCATGAAGGTGACGTAAACATAATTAATAAATGATCAAATCATCACGAATGTAATTCGTGGGGTGTATTTATTGATACTTTAATTGAATTAACAATAAATGAATTCTGCAACGGCGATGCCAGTTGCAGTGGAAAATGTCCACGACCATGTCGAAGAAAGCCACTAAAGACTTGGCACCCCAAATTCGTGAACTGTGAAGGAATGTTTTTCTCGTATTGATTTTCTGGGAGGGCGTTTCGTGACGTTAGTATGACGCTCGCCTACAGACGCTGAGCTTCTCTGTCGAAATATAGGAAATGGAAATCATCTCTCCAAAATTATGTGGATGAACAGTAATAAAAACACTGTTTTGGAGCCAGATTTCCATAATTCTGTGTATTTCAGAGGCATCTGATTGACTCGAGGAAGTAAATCGAGAAAAACTCGACTTGTGTGGTGTTCAGAGAATCCTTTGAGCATTTTTCGATTAGCTTTCCAGGAACAGTCAAAATTCGCCTCTTTTGGAGCCAGATTTCCATAATTCTGTGTATTTCAGAGGCATCTGATTGACTCGAGGAAGTAAATCGAGAAAAACTTGCAGTGCCCTATTTTGTTGGTTGGAGGATCAGGTTTTTCTTCAGTATCTATTCCAGTATGTTTAGCTATTGCATTTAAAATATAGGAATGTGAACCTGACATAGTAGCACTGGACTGCATATGGCCTTTTATTAACTCCAAACCCAAATTCTTGATAAATAATCTTCTCTGTTTACTATGATCCTGATTCGGGTCATTGTGCCTGGTAATTATGAATGCATTTATGCTAGCAATGTTCAAAATATCATCAGCACAATCTTTCTCTTTCTGGGCTCATAAGAAGATGCCATCATATGAATACCAAACCCAAAAATGGAGGAGCCTACAGGACGATCTTCAGTATGTGTTAAATTTTTCGGCTGTTCTCATTTATTTCTTTTTATTGTTCCCACGATGGTGAGTTTATATTCTGTCTTCAATTTTTGACGAGATCGCAACTGACAAACATAGCAATATTTCCCCAAACATCAAACCGGGGGTCTACCTAGATTGCACTGCCATCTGCTAACAATTATTCTTATAAAATAACAACTCCCTAAAAACTCTTTCCGTTCGCCGCCAGATGACATCATTCAAATGAAATTACATATGAGGTCGACGGTGGTCTACTGGGACAAAAGTATTAAATCCAAACATGCAAAAAAATAGTTTGGTAAAATAAAGTATGAAT